GCCCTGCAGTGCGGCCTGTCTCTCCCCTCGGCTGGCATTTCCTTTGCCGTGCAGAAAGAAGCCTCTTAGTTTCACATAATCCCATTTGGCCCATAGCTTTGCTTTCATTTTCTGCACTTTCGGGGGTCTTATCCAGAAAATCTTTGCTGAGATCAGTGTCTTGAAGTGTTTCTCCTAGTAGTTTCTCCTCGTAGCTCCATAATTTCAGGTCTGACATTTCGATCCTTGATTCATCTTGAGCCGATTTCTGCACGTGGTGAGAAGTGAGGGTGTAGTTGCCCTCTCCAGACAGACAGCTGGCTTCCCAAGCACCCCTTGCTGAAGAAACTGCCCTTCTCCAGGTATGCTTTTGGCACCTAAGTGGAAAAGTCAGTTGGCTGTGAGATGCAGAAAATACACACACACACGCACACATGATAAAATCAAAGAAAAAAATAGGGAAACCCTACATTTCCACTACTCAGAGAGCAGCGGTAACATTTTGTTATATTTCTTTCCTTTTTTATGCATTAAGTATAAAGTTTTAACCATATTTTTAAAGTATAAAAGTCGTTCTATATGGCAAAATGATTAAAGATATAAAGAAAAGTCTAAAAAAATTCAAGTAGGGCCAGGGATTTAGCTCAATGGTTCTGCCACCTGCCTTGTAAGCACAAGGACCTGAGTTCAATCCCCAGTACTAAAAATAAAAATAAAAAAATTCAAGTTACCTTCTACATTGTCTTAGTTACTTTCCTCTTCGCTGAGACAAAATACCTGATAGCCAGAGTTCAAGGAGGAAAGGTTTATTTCAACTCACAGTTTGTAGAGGTTTCAGTCCATAATTGGCTGGCTGCAAGGCAAGGTGGTTTGGCAGAGGGCCATCCCAGAGGAGAAACAGTCCATGGCAGGCAGAAAGCAGCAAAAGCAGCAAGCAGCAAATGATGACAGCAGCCTTCTTTCTGTCCCTCACATTCTCTCCAGGCTCCATGCTCTTAGGGTAGGTAGTACTCACACCAAGGATGGGTCTTCCCACCATCCACACTCAGAACTATGCCAAAGCAATCAGTGGACTAACTTAGTAATCACACACCCTTTAATCCCAGCATCACACACTTAATGCCAGCATCACACACTGTAGATCCAGCCAGCTCTGAAAAGTCCTATCTATGACTTTGGGGGGACATGAGGCTTTGGGGAAACATTTAGATACAAGCCATAATAGGAATTATTCCTACCTGTAGGTTCACTTTCCAGAAATAACTTTCAGTATTTTCTGAGTTTTCTTTCTCCTGAAGAACACTTTCAGTTATACTTCTACACCTCAATTCCTTCCATTAAAGATGAGAACTTTATTTTACTACCTCTCCCATATCCTTACACTTCATTGGTTTGGTTTGGTTTGCTTTTGCCTCATAATTACATCAGTGAAATCTGGGAAAGAAGGGGACCATAGCTGTCAGATTTGTCACTATTATGAAATACTTGAGGCAAGCTAATTAAGAAATGAAGAGGTTCTGATTCTATCTCAGTCCAGAAAGAATGGCTATCATCAAGAAATCAACCAATAGGGCCAAGGATTTAGCTCAGTGGTTCCGCTGCCTGCCTTGCAAGCACAAGGACCCGAGTTCGATCCCTGATACCAAAAAAAAAAAAAAAAAGAAATCAACAAATAACAAATGCTGGCAAAACTGTGGGGAAACAGGAACCCTTCTACATTGCTGGTGGGAGTGTAAACTGGTGCAGCTACTATGGAAATCCGTATGGAGATTCCTCAAACAACTAAAAATAGAAATTCCATTTGACTCAGCTGTTCCCCTTCTATATATCATCCCAAAAGAGTTAAAAGCATCACACCACAGTGATGCACACCCATGTTTATAACAGCACAATTTTAATTGCTAAATCTTGGAAACAGCCCATATGTCCATCAGAAGATGGATAAAAAAATGTGGGGCTGGGGATTTAGCTCAGTGGTTTTGCCGCCTGCTGCACAAGCGCAAGGACCTGAGTTTGATCCCCAGTACCAAAAAAAAATTTGAAGAAAATGTGGTATTTATACACAATGGAGTACTACTCTGCCATAAAGAAGGATAAACTTGAAACATTTGTAGGAAAATGGATGCACCTTGAGACCATAATCTTGAGTGAAATTAATCAGACACACAAGCTTAAATATTACATTGTGGGCCAGGGATTTAGCTCAGTGGTTCCGGTGCCTGCCTCACAAACACAAGGTCCTGAGTTTGATGCCCAGTACCAAAATAAAATAAAAATTACATTTTTTCTCTTGTGTGAGAAACCCAAAGGGCAAATAAGGAGCAAAATAGGGGAGAGATACTGGGAAGGAGGAAGAACATGTTCAAATAGGAGGGGAACAAGAGGGGGTGGGGAAAGGATGGAAGGGACAAGAAAAAAAGAGTGGAAGGAAAAAATGGAAACAAAGCTTTTGTAAATGGAGAGGGGAAGAGGGGTTAAAGGGAGGGGAGGGGGATGGGAAAAAAAGAATCAAGATATATCATGTGCAGGTACACATTCCCTGTAATGAATGTGATCAATATGTATGACAAATACGAACTAATAAAGTTTTTTATAAAAGGAATAAAGAGGATTCTTTCACCCATAGCGTGGAGATTCAGGTCCAAGGCTGGTGATGTGGTAGCCACGTGGCAGGGAGCACTGCGGCCCTCACACCCGGAGCTGGGTGCAGAGAGCAAGTCCATCGGGTCAGGTCCCGCAGTCCTCCCCGAGGAGGATCTGTCCCCAGCGTCCTAAGGACCTCCCAGCCGCCCCGCCTCCTCCAGGTCCACATCATCTCCAAGTGTGGGAGGCGCCACCCACTCAAACCCAGCAGGCTTGGGTCTGTCCGTGGGTGGGACAGCCAGCTCGGCCTCTGTCCCACCGGCCGGACTGTGAGAACCCTCTCATCTATTACTGACCCGTGTGATGCTAGCTCCGTAAAGGGAAACCATAGAAATGCATTTCTTCCAAAAGCCATTAGAATCACGTTATTCAGGAGTCGTTTCCACCATAATCATTACTTAGGTCTATGTTTAATTGATTGCTGATGAATTTATTTTTCCCTTAGAAATGGCAGTTTTCTTTTGCCTGAAGAAGACTCTAAGAGCTTTCCCCCCTTCATTACCTCAACACAATATGTTTTGATCGTGGTAGAACTCATCACCGTGTGTGTGTGTGTGTGTGTGTGTGTGTGTGTGTGTGTGTGTGTGTGTTCCAGCACTGGGGGCTGAACTGAGTTTCATCCGGGTCCTTTTTTAATTCTCTAAGACAGGGTCTCTCTAAGTCCTTCAGTTGCCGGGCTGAACACATGGATTTTTGTTGTTTTGTTTTGGGGGGAATTTTTTGATACACCGCTTTAACCTGAAGATTTGGATCTTTCCTTCGGAGACAGTCTCTGCCTAAGTAATCTTGGGGTGATTTTGGTTCCACTTGGTCTTGTTTTTCTCCTCTCCAGGGATACCTGTTGCACGGTGCGGAGTCCTCCCGTCTCTCTTTACACGGGCAGCAGGTGTTGGCGAAGGCTACTTGGCCCTTTCAGATCTATCTCCATGTCGTCTCCTTAGGTTCTCCAGAATTCCAAGATGCAGAAAAGACCGAAGACATCACAATTTCAGTGAAATCACACCCTTCTGTTTCTCTTCATCTCCCCACAGAAAGAAAACTCAGATATCTTTTCCCAAGAAATCAACAGACATCAATATTGGGTGATTTTCACTTGAATTTTCGTAAGATCTGAGGGTGCGTGGCCTTCTCTCGACTCTCTCCTCTTCCTCTGCTCCTCACGCGTCTGTTCCCAGTGGGGACCCCAGCCCCCAGCTCTTCTGGCTCAGGCTTCGGTGGGAGCGGGGCGGGGGCGGGGGCGGTGCAGGCTCAATTTCCGTCCTACCAAGCCACTGGGCCACACAAAGGTACTGAAGGATGTCACCAAGATTGGGTTTCCCCTCCTCCTCTCAGAGTCTGTCTCTGCTTCTTTTTAAGCGACTGCGTTCTCTGCAGACACGAACATGCTTGCTCTAGGTGGCTGGTAAGATGGCTCCCGCTGGCCCCAATCCCACAGAAAGCCTTAGGATTCGGGGGACAAAAGGGAGCCCCTTCCTCCCCCAGTATGTCACGTATCAAATCTCCTGGAGGAAATGGGATCGGCTTTGCTTGGCACCGTGTAAACGTGGCAGGGTGGCTGGGTTGGGAGGGTGGGTTGCATATCCTGTCCCCTGGGAATGGGGCCAGTTGGACTAATGCTCCGCCTAAGGAGGGTTGTTTGTTGACAAGACAAAAGCAACAGATGTCTGCCACACCTCGCCTCTTTGCTATGGAAATGTATCCTCCACAATCCCCAACCCCCACCCCGCTCTTCAGGCCCCCAGTTCAGGGTTTATCCGCAGGGCCCTTAGTAAACGTTTCGCTCAAATATCAAAATGTGTATCCCGTTAAAGACTTGGAGAACCCGCCTGGCTTGGGATTTCATCTCTTCTGCAATTGTTTTTCGGTTTTAATTGATTCCGGGAAGGGAGTAACAGTGAAAGATTCCTTTTATGAAAAGTTCTTTGCTTTTGTTTTGCTCTCTGTGGAATATGGAGAAGAGATAAAAGCAGGGGGAAAGACTGAAGAAAAAATGATCTCATAAATCTCAGTCTTTCCAAGGGAAATTATAGTTATTTTATATGCAGGGGGCTCAGTGAGTTACAAGTGCAGGGCAATTCTGTCAGTAGCAATGCACAGGTACCTGAACGGTACTAGAGTGAAAGGAAAACCTTGCTTTGAAGCTTTAGGTTAAACCAATACAGTTATTGAGCAATTAAAATTTGTCAGGTACAGTGGCAGGTACTGAATAGAAACATGGGTGACTGTACTGGGGAGGCTGAGGCAGGAGGATCACAAGTTCAAATTCCGCCCCTGGCAAGACTCTGTCTGAAAATTTAAAAATACAAATCGCCAGGGATGTAGCTTAGTGATAGAACCCTTGCCCAGACAGTATAAGGCCATGGGTTCAATCCACAGTACCATTACAGAATCAATAAAATAAAGGGGCTCCGTGGATTTCGCCAGACCCAGGGGAAGGCGAGGGAAATAAGTAAAAACATGGTCTCACAGGGACAGCTGCGGCCTCCGTGCACGGCCTGGCAGGGCTGCACTGCGTGGGCAAGCGTGCGTGCGTGCGTACGCATGCGCATAGCGTAGCCTTCCTGGGCGGGACCGGAACCCTGTGGTTGGCAAGGCGGAAGGCCTGCGGGTGCCCTGACCTCAGCGCGGTGCTCCCGGGAGGAAGCTGGCCCGGGAGTGTGGCCTGATGTCACTTCTGTGTGGGATGCGGCACAGTGGGGCGGGGAGGAGGGCGGTGGTCAGCAGGGCCGGGGGTCGCCGTTCCAGACTCGGGGTTGCAGAGGAGGCCGCATGTTCTCGCCGCAGACGCGCTCCTGGTGACCGTCCTCCGTGACATATTCGCGGTCGGAACGTACGTGTCCATCTGACCAGTGCACCACTTGTGTTTGTCTCTTGGAGCTCAGGAAGCCTGGGAGCCCGGCCCAGTGGCAGAACCGGGTTTGAAACTCAAAGGTCCACTTCGCCCTGCAGCGCCCCCCCGCCCCCCGGGTCTTATCTTCACTGCCCCAGGTCACACTGCCTCGGGCCCTCCGTGCTCAGGGTGACCCGGGTCACCTCTGCCTGCCCGCCCAGTCTCAGGCTGCCAGAGGACGCAGACCTTCACAGGCACACCGCATGGTATGCGTGCTTGTCCTTCTTAACTTACTAATAGTTTATTAAATGTGTCAAAGCTGGCAAAAGACTTACCCAGAATCATCTCATTCGGAGAACAGAGCTGGCCAACATCTGAATAGGATGCTACATTGAAGAGTGACAACGTAGCCAGGTGTCATGGCACATGCCTGAAATCCCAGCACCCTGGAGGCGAGGCAGGAGAATCCGAAGTGTGGGCCCCGCCTAGGCCATTGGTGACTCATGTAGCTCAGTGTGGAGGTCTTGGGTTCAATCCCCAGTGAGAGAGAGAGAGAGAGCAGCTAAACAATTAAGGTATATAACTTATAATGTTAAATAATCATCAGAGAGTGTGTTTTCAAAAGATTTTCATGACATGGAGAAAGGGCTAAAATATACTACATGAAAAGAAAGATAAGACGATAACAATTTGAAATACTTCACACATTTAATGAATGCTGTGGACATTTATGATTAGAAGACAGAATGAAGTTAAAACCAAAGGAGGAGGAAGAAAGTGATGGGGCACCAGAGGAAGTTCTGGAGCAGGCAGTAGGGAGATAGCCCTGGGGGAGGCACACAGACATACGGCTTCCAGCCCAGGGCAAATCTGTGGGAGCAGTGAGCCCACTGTGGGGTTCTGTGACCTGGTTTGTGATCTCTTCATTTTTGTTTTGGGTTGTGCTGGGGATTGACTGTTCGTGATTCTTAGTGTTAGCAGGAACCCAGCAGAGGAACCCCCGCCAGAATCCAGCTAACTCAGCAGCCCCTGGGAGACAGGTCCCCAGCCCCTCCTCCACCTGGAAGGAAACTGCCCGGGGACCAAGCCCCAGGAGCCCTACAGTGTGGTCACCCCACTGCCACAGCAAAAAGAGACCCAACAGGTTGGACCTGAAGCTGCCCGGGAGCCTCCCCTCCTCCCTCCTGCGCGTGCACCAAAGAGCTCAGATTTGAGCCTAAAGTGAAAGCTCACGTCCTGGGATCCCCGCAGTGGACTCCTGAGCTGCAAGGCACAAGGCCCCCAGTGTCTGTCCTTGACAGCCTCCCCCACCGACGTTTAGGGGCGATGGAGGTAGGTTTGTGTGGTGTGGAAGGAATAAATCCTAGAATCACACTGGGAAGCCACAGATTCCATGGGACCATGGCAAGATGTGGGAAAGAAAGGACTACGAGCCTCCTGAGTCAACAGAACAGCGGGATTAGCACACGGCGCGCGCACACACACCCGTCGTCTGCAAATATCCAAGGGAAGCATTGTCTGCAGGGCAGTTCCTCCCCTGTCCCTTCTAGGGAGGCACAGAGCACTGTCACAGAGGCGCCTGGCCCCTGTAGCAAGTTACAAGGTGAGGGTGAATCAGAGCAAGACTGAGAAGCACTGCTTAACGGTAAGCATCTGTGTGTGCTTGGTGTTGCAGAAAGAGCCAGGCAGAGCTGGGCGCCATGGCACACACCTGTGATCCCAGCACTCCGGAGGCTAAGGCAGCAGGATCATAGCTCGGGGCCAGCCTGGGCTACACAATGAGACCCTGTCTCAAAAGGAAAAAATGAATGAATGAAAAGAAATACCGAGGCTGAGGTGAGAAGGGACTGGTTATGGGGGAGAGTGCACTCCGTTGCTGGAAGAGAGCGTCCCTGCTAAGCTGGGATAAGCGCTGTCCTTGGACTCTCTGGACCCTTGGCGGGTGTTACGTTTTGCATAATGCTTTTGTTATGAACTTTTCTAATGGTCTGACACAGATTCGTCCATCACGTCACCATGGCAATGCCACGACATGGGTGTATATTGCATCTTCAGAGGCACAGAAAGGTGAGGTGTGCTGGCCAGGGTCTTGCTGCTCTCCATAGCCCAGAGCCCCGGGTTCACACTGTGCAGTCTCTCGAGCCGAGTTTATTACTGCCATGGATCATTTCAGGAGTCACTAAACTGTTTCTGGGTGTGTTCGTTTCCAGGTGAGATCAGCCTTGGTCTCCGTGGCCTTGGTGACTGTCGCTGGCCTTCTGCAGCGCGGCAGGGTCATCCACCTCCCAGAGGGCAAAAGGCAGAGAAAGCAGGAATTGGCTGCTTTCCACTTCCTGCTTCCCTGCCTGAGCCGGGCCCTGATCTCCTCTCACCCTGTGCTTTGGTTTCCATCTCGGACTGCCCTGGTGCTCAAACCTTCCCAGCTGGGCTGGCTTCACACCCCTCAGTTTCCTGGGATTGCGCTAATGGGGTTTCTCTCTCTCACGTGCACACACACACACACACACTCCACCCTCTCTGTCTGCTGGTTACATATCTGTGGATTCAACCAACCATCCAAGGATCGAATAGTAGAAAATGTGACATCATGGTGACACACTGTGTTATCAGGCCTCTGTCCTGAGCATGCACAAATGTTTTTTCTTGTCATTTTTCCCCAGAACCACCCAGGAGAGCAGCTGGTTACATACATTTACGCAGTGAATTGTATTCGGTACTAGAGGACAGCCAGAGGCCACTGCAAGGAGCACCATGGTGGATGTGTACATCCTGTGCTGTTGGGTTGCAGGGACATGGCACCTACAGATTCGAGGGTCCTGGGAGGGGCGTGAGCTCCAGGGACACCGAGGGACGGCTGGGTGCATTGCTGGTGTCACTTCTGCAGAGAACACTGACCAGTACTGTGCTGGCTGGGCATCCAGAAGTCTGCACAACCCCAAGGGGCTGGACAGAGATTTTCCAAGTGGTTTTGTATTCAAAATAACCCCTTCTTTCAGGTCTCCAACCAGCATCTAAAAATATCCATAAAAATACTTTCCACAGTTTTTCTACTCCTCACAAGAACCTCTCAAGATGAACTACACTTAGTAAATATGGCAATGTATGTAGCAGTGGTGGCGAACCTATGGGCACGAGCCACAGTAAGCTGTTTGTATCATTGAAAGCTCTAAAAGGTTTGCCATCACAGGTGTATCAGCATACAGTTTTATAAGTCAGTCTGTCTGTGTTTCTGTCTCTGACTCTGTCTCTCTCTCCCCCTCCCCTCCCCCTCCCCCTGCTGAGAACTGAACCCAGGGCCTCAGGGGTGCCAGCACCATACCCCCAAGCTTCCCTCAGCTCTGTCCCTTACTACAGATGCTCTCATTTATTCCTCACAAAATCCTGATAGCAAGTGGAGCTGCGATTGCTCTCCTGCTCCGTGAGGACAACTCACATCCCAGGGGACTCGGGAAAGGTCACACAGCCATCTATGCCAGGACCAGGACCAGGAGCAGCACCTACACCCACTGCATCCTGGTGTGGGGAACCTCTGGATAAGGACAGAGGCCTCTATTCCTCAGGACCTCCATGTCACTGACGCTGTCATGCAGAACCCGAGACCCACATTGAGAGGCTCTGGCGGCAGGAGGAGTTTGAAAGTGCTGCTTCAGTACTGCAGCAGCTGTGTTGGGGAGCGAAGCTGGAAGACCTCTCCCGCCTTCCAAGGGGCCCTGAGGGAGACTCCCAGCTGAGAGCAGGACTGAGACTGCTGATTAACTGCGGTGAACAGGGAGGGTGAGGTCCTCGCTTCCAGTAGACTTTTAGCCCACTGTTGTATTCCTGCCGCTTGTTCCTGAGGGCAGTGGAGGTGCAGCAGTCGAAAAGGTGGAACTGGGCCACATAACTTGGGCAGTGAGCAGAAAGCAGGTGGCCTGAGGGGGTCCCTGCTGGAGAGCGTGGCCCATGGATGCGACACCAGGCATGCAGCCCTGGGTTCTTCAGAGTGCAGGATAGTCCCTCCCTTGGAGGCCTGAGGCCAGAGCTCTGTGCTGAGGAAAAGGGGCACAGGAGATGGGACTCAGGACCTTCCCTGTGGGTGTGGGAGCTTAGGGGAGCCTGGACTCTGGTGGAGAGAAAGGTGGGCACTTCAGACAGCCAGACGACCTCCTCACGTGCAGGCTGGAGGGCTGGGGACTTCCCTGGGTCCCGAACCATGGAAGATGTATGTGTGTCAGGTCCCAGAAAAGGACCTGACCTCCCACTCTCGGTCTCTCTGGGAACATGTTGGGATGTGACAAGTAGAAAGTGAAATGAAATCTTGGCACTTGGGAGGCTGAGGCAGGAGGAGTGCCCTGATTTGGAGCCAATTCTGGGCTACAGACTGAGTTCAAGGCCACTGGACTACACAGCGAGACTCTTGTCTCAAAAACAAAAAAGTGAAGGGAAATGAAACCGTCAAAGTGACAGAACTGCACCTGGGAGAGAAATGATTTGTGCAAGCCACAGGAAAATCTGTGCCTCTTTGCAAATGCAATTGTTTCCCTTCTGATGATTTCAGACCCCTGCCAGGGAACATAGACTACAGCCAGGACAGATCCTCGCTTTACCCGGAGTCTGGATCCTGGTGACATTCATTCTGATGGAGAACACATAGGTATCTCAGTCCCCAGAGCAGCCTGTAATTATTTCGTGTATGAAAGTGTTTTTTATACATTTGACATCATCTGTTGTCATTAAAATAAACATTGGCACACAGTAGGTTTGTGTAGTCATGATGGGCAGCTCAGTGTTTGAGGAACCATCAACAGTGGAATAATCACACTGTAAATATTTAAGCTCTATACTTATTCATTGTTTTGCTTCAGAATCTACCAAAAATGTATTGCACTGCAGTAATGTTGACATTTTAAAAGGACCCTAACATGGCATGGTGGCCCACACTTGTAATCCCAGCACTTGGAAGGCTGAGGCAGGAGGATTGCCAAAAGTTCGAGGCCAGCCTGAATTACATGATGAAACCTTGTCTGAAACAAGCAAAACAAAACAAAAGGACCTAGTTTTCAGCATGATGCCTTGTTTAATATGAAGTTGCTTTCTGTGACAGCTTTTAAAGAATGACTGCAATTCTGTTACCTCTAACAGGGTAATGAAAAGTCCTTTTTAATGTTTGAAAAATTTAGCTCAAAATAAAAATCTTCTATCCAAGTGAAATATTTGAATACTATGAGTCTGATACAAATGCATATTTGTTTGTGGGTTTGTTTTTTGACACAGCATCTTGCTTTGTAATCCAGGCTGGCTTTGAACTCACTGTGTTGCCCAGCAGCGATCCTCCTGCCTCAGCCTCCCAAGTGCTGTAATCAAAAGGAAAGCATCATTCTGGTCCTCAAGGACACAAAGTTGGGGCCCAGGGAAATCTGCACTTACAAACCTAGTTAAACAAATCCTTATTCTCCTAGCTACATCTCCACCCACTTAAGTCCCTAAGACAAGCCCTTCAGCTTATCATGGTTTCACAGTGTGCCACTTTGTCTAATTCTATATATAAACATGTTCATCTCTATCTTTTGGTCATCATTGCCTTATGATGTCTTCCATGCCACATAGAACTTGTATTAAATTTGTATGCTCATCTTCTGTTGACCTGTCTTATGTCAATTTAATTCTCAGACTCAGCTGAAAGCCTACAAAAGGGTGGAGATCGAATTTTGCTTAAGGAATTCCAGCCAGAGGGATGCACGGAATCTGTATGTGGGAAGGAAGCCAGTCGGCTAAGTGCAAGGGGTCAGAACACTCAGGGTCATTGTACCTTTTCTTAGAAGATTACTTGGCAGTATGCCTCAGCAAAACAGAGTAAACTAAGGAAAAAATGCTAGGATCCAGGAGCCAGTGGTTTCCAGTGAGATATGTCGTTAAGGGAAGCCCCAGTGACTGCTGTGCCTTGGACCCACACAGCTGGCAGCAAAGGCCTTAGGAGGAAGTTGTCCCTGGGGGAAGAGGTCAGGTTTTAAAAAAAATTTATACTAACGTTCAGATTTTAGAATAATAGAGACCAGCAGTGCAAATATAAAAATAAAGACAAGAAGACAATTATAAAGCTGCCTTGTTAGCTGAGGTGATTTTACTGTAAGCAATAAGAAAACCAATTCACCTTGCTTAAAGAATAAGAAGTGTGGCAGGCTAAGGCAGGAGGATGGCAAGTTTGAGCCCAGCCTAGGCAATTTAGCAATTTGAGACATAGTCTCAAAATTTTAAAAAAATGGTTAAGAAGGCTGGGGCTGCAGCTCAGTGAGAAGGCCCTAGATTCAATCCCAAAATCCGGGGAAGAAAAAGGAATAAGAAATGTACCATCCGACAGAACCGGGATGCTGTGGAGGCAGGGAAGGTGCCTAGTTAATTCAGTGGTTCTGACCTTTGTCAAGCACACATTCTTTCCCTCAATCTCTGTGGTGTCCTCACAGTGGCAAAATGCAGACAGCTCTTTCACCATCCACATCCAACACGGCAGAATCCCAAAGCAAACCTGTGTCCCTCTTGGAGACAGGAGACCTATCTGGAAGCTCCTGCAGACACCCTGTCCTTGTTCATTGGCAAAAACTATCTCTAAACCTTTGCTAGGAAGGAGAGGAAATCACTGTAGCAGCAGGCACTAATTGCCCTCCTTCCCTCCCGAGACAGAACTTTCTGGGTTGTATCTGGATACACAAACACCAGGCTGGAAGCCACCTCTCCCAGATTTCTGCACACCTAGGCATGGCTATGGGAATAACCTCTGGCCGACAGGCCCTGAGTGGAAATGATGTGGTCAATCTGTGGATGGCTGTGTGCTCTCCCCTGCCTTGTTTCTTCCTTCTGGCCAGCCGAAAGTTGGTTGAAGGTGGGTCAACCTGAAGATAAGGGGAATTTCCAAGGGGATGACAGAGCCCCAGGTAGGAGGAGCCCAGGAGCCAGGACAAGCTCATGAGCTATTCTATCCTTGTCTAGTTACTCTTCTTGTTGCTGAGACAAAACACCCAGCAGCCACAAGTTAAAGGAGGAAAAGTTTATTTCAGCCCACAGTAGAGATTTTGGTCCATAGTAGTCTGGCTTCAAAACAGTGTGCCACGGCTGGGGATTTAGCTCAGTGGTTTGACCACCTGCCTCACAAATGCAAAGTCCCGAGTTCAATCCCCAGTACTAAGAAGAAGAAGAAGAAGAGGAGGAGGAGGAGGAGGAGGAGGAGGAGGAGGAGCAGGAAACAAAACAGTGTGGCATGTCAGAGGGGCATCAGAGGAGGAACAGTCCGTGGCAGGGTAGGCAGGAAGCAGCAAGCAGTCTTCCTTCTGTCCGTTTTATCCCATCCAGGCTACAAGCCTTTTGGGTGGTGCCACCCACATCCAGGATGGGGCTTCCATTATCCACACCCAGAACTATGCTAAACCAATCAGTAGACTAATTTAGTGCCACACACCTTTAATCCAGTATCACACACCCAGGATCCAGCCAGGTTTTAAAAGCCCCACCTAAGAGTGCGTAAGGCTTGGAGGGGCATCTAGATACAACTCATAGCAATCCTCTTACATTGTCTCAAGTTTGGAGTTCTGTGTGACAGAGACATTAACTTCTGTCCTTTTACTGTAATCAATTTTTTTTGTTGTTTTATTTGGAGATACAGCCTCACTATGTAGCCCAGGCTGGACTTGAACTCATGGTGATCCTCCTGCCTCAGCCTCTTGAGTGCTGGGATTACAGATGTACACCACCATGACAGCTCTATAATCATTATTAAAGCAGCCAAAGCAGCACCCTAGGTACTGGAGTGGCAGGGCTTCACTTGGCCAGCTGTAGGGAACAGGGAAAGGGGACATTACTAGAACCTCTGCAGTAAGTCCTAGTCTCCTGCGAGCCACCGCAGCACAAGGTGAATTACAGGAAAGGTAGAAAAATGAGACTGAGAAGAAGCTGAGCTTTGGGCCTGATCAGTGCTGCTCTGGGCGGCAAAGACGAAAGCCCCCAGCTTGCAGCACCTTTTATTCAGTACTCAGTACATCAGGAGAAACACATGTAACAAATGACTGCAGGTGACGGAAATCTAAGAACAATGAGGAACTGAGTAGATGAAGATTTTGTTCCTCCCAGGATGTCTTCAGCTGGTGTAATCTTGTCCTGGAGCATCACAGCATCACCGGATCACTGAGGTCTCAGTTGTGACCAGAGGCCAAAATGGAATTATGTCTCAAAATGCCATAGCTGGCCTGTAGGCAGGAGAACTAGGATTTTCCCTTAAAATTATAGCATTGTCGGTAGCATCGCTCCCAACAGCCGGCAGTTCTCCAGGACAGTCCCTATGAGGGGACATCCATAGCGCCCTGGAGATGGGTGCATGGGAGGGGGCTGCAGACCAAGGCCCTGTCCTCTCGGGCATAATCCCCCGGCGCTGTCTGGGGGCGCATGGGCTGGGCCGGGAGGGTCACCTCAGAGCCAACCTGGGACAGGTCGCGCCCGGTCTTCACCGAGGCCTCGGCTCTGCTGTCATCCTGTTTCAGCAATCCTCGGCCCCGCACTCATCCAGTGGGGAGAGGACTCAGGACGCGGTAGGAGGGTCAGTGAAGCCACATTTCTGTCTTTCAGGTCGGCTGGGGCGTGTCCTCCTACCACCTGCCACTTCTGTGACTCACTGTGGGCCGGGCTCTCCGCTTTCAACACCAAGTCACGATGGCGGGCAGCGGGGAGGGGCAGCTCGGCGGCCTAGCGGTACCGGGCAGTGGCCGTCGGGAGGTGGAGCCGGGCGCTGCCTAGACGCCCCCGGAGGGGCCCCGGGGTGGGGGTGCCCGGGGCTGGGCCCGGTCACTCCTCTCTCAGATGGGGAGACTCCAGGAATAGCTCCCGATAACCGCAGGAGCCCTGAGCTCCGCCATTCTTTCTCTTACGGCTTCTCTTGACTCGGCGTCCGCACTGGCAAAGGGTCGGTAACGGCATCCTCTTCTCCTGCGTCACAAGCTTGTGGTGAATTGCAGAAAAAGGTAAATTCTAAATTGTGAAAACACAAAGGCTTAGCGCCTTCGAAGTCCTCTCGCCCTGGTCCCTCTGGGCCCCCAAGGTCTCTTGGTCTCAGCGCATCTTCCTCAGTCCCCGAGACCTGGGGGAGCTTCTGGTCGGGGACACTGCGGGCCGCGAGCAGCTGAGGGAGGAGCCTCTCTGTCCTGCCCCCACCTCGACGGGAGCCGGGATGTGTGGCCGCCAGGCCCCAGCCCCTCCGTGTCCCCTGCCCTGCCCTGACCAGGGCGGGGCCTGGCTTGGGCCTCCCCTTCCTGCAGCAGCGGGGTGGGCTTTGCCTGGGCCTCCTCCTGCCCTGCTCTGGGAGGTGGGTTCAGGAAACACAAATCAGCTTATCCCAAGGAAGCAGTCGGGAGTCTTTCAAGAGGGTCACATCTACCAGGCCAAAGAAGTCTACGGTCCCCAGCTAGGCGAAGGGCAGGACAGGCTCGGGGGCCCCACACTTGGGGGCTCCCCCGTTTGGAGGACTGGGGCACTCCCGTGGGGACATGGCTGCCCCTGCCTGCACCCTTGCCTGCGGGAGGAGGAGCCGAGGGCAGGGAGAGGGAGGCACAGGGAAGAGCAGGCCAGGCTGTCTCGCCCATCTGTGCACCCCCAGGGCCTGGCAGGCCATCAGATGCCCTGGGAATGTGGTGGAGGGGCTGGACTCCCCCCAGGCTTTGCCACTGAGTCCTTCTTTAGCCTCGTCCAGCCTCCTGGGGCAAGTCTGCGATCAGAAATGGAACCCACCTCACAAGGTTTTCCCAGCATCAGCTAAAACAATGTATCGAATATGGCTTTGGGGATAAAGGACGTGACATACCAGCTGGGGATAGAGGTGCATACCTACAGCCCCAGCATTCCAGGAGACAGGAGGACTGCAAGTTCAAGCCTAGCCTGGGAAAATTAGTGACTTATCGAGACCCTGTCTCAAAATAAAAAATAAAGACAAGGCAGAAGATGTGGCTCAGGGCAAAGGCTACAACTTCAATCCCCAGTGCTGCAAAGGAAAACAAAATGTCAAATACACCCAGGTGACAGTGTAGTGTTTAAAAAAATACTAGTTTTCTCATTGACATTTCTCTAATAGAATACAAAAGAAAGAAGAGTGTTTTCATGAAATTCATTAAACCATTTCCACATTAAAGAAGGAAAATGTGGCTTCTGAAATTCTCATTCTTCTGGCCTGGCCCTTAGCCAATAGGTTGCTATCCCCCGCCCAAACCTTAGCTCCATAGCTTCTCATTGTTTTAAGGAGATCAATTTAGAATCAGCCCATAAAATTCTTCCCCTCAGATGAAGTTGCGATTTGATTAGAATTTTGTTAACCCTGGCATCTTTATTATACTGACTGCTTCCAGAAAATGGCAGGTTCTTTTGTTTGAGTGACTATTTTTCTCATAGGTTCATCATAACACCTAGTAGACTTTTCATTTAGATTCTTCTTAAGGATTTTATGGGGTTTTTTATTTTTCCCTACTACAAATGAGACTTTTCTCTGCATCGTGGTTTAATCATTTATAAGAGATACACGGGGAAGGTATTGATTTGCTAAAATTACTTCTGTAGGGCTGGGGATTTAGCTCAGTGGTTCTGCCGCCTGCCTCGTAAGCACAAGG